AAGTCAGGGTATGCCCCTGACTTTAGCAGAGGACCTGGGGACTGTGCTGGACGGGCCATGCGATGTGGGCAGGCAGAGGGACGGATGGGGATGTGCTGGAGTGGGAGGAGAGACAAGGCTGGGGCTGGGGGTGCGAAGCTCGTCCCCCTGCAGCCACCATGGGCTGCTGTTGCAGCTCGGACTATGACGAGGACTGGATCGAGAACATCGACATTTGTGAGCACTGCAATTACCCCATCGAGCCCAACAGCAAGCGCCAGGTGAGGAGGGGGCGAGTGGACCCCCTGTCCCGGTGGCCAAATGCCTCTGGAGGTGGCCGTGGCATGGCCAAACCCTGGGAAGGTGAGGGCTCACGGGGCTCCTCGTCCCCTTGCAGAGGCGGATCCGCAACGGCGCCGAGGTGCAAGACCCCCTGGTGTCCTACGAGGCCACATCTCCGCCGTGCTCCCCCCTGCAAGGTAAGGGCCAGCCGTGGCAGGGGGTGGCTGTGGACACCCCCCCAGTTGGCCACGGCCACCCTGCCCCTCCGCTTGTCCTCCCAGATAAGCTGGTGGTGGCCTTGTACAACTACGAGCCCAAGCACGATGGGGACCTGGGGCTGCGGAAGGGCGAGAAGCTCCGCATCCTGGAAGAGTAAGCGAGCGCCGACGGCGTCCCAGCACCAGCGCCGGCATGCCCCTGCGGCTCCCCGGCTGGCATCCTGGTGCTGCCGGGGGGGGCCCGTGCAGGGTCCTGGTAGCCAGAGAGGGTCTCACCTTGCTGTGTGCTCGCAGGAGCGGGGAGTGGTGGAAGGCGCAGTCGCTCACCACCGGCCAGGAGGGGTTGATCCCCTACAACTTCGTGGCCACGGTGAACAGCCTGGAGCCTGAGCCGTGAGTAGGGGTTGAGAAGGAGCCGTGCTCCGGCAGGAGCTGTGCTGGCAAGGGGAAAGGTGCCAGGAGTATCCCTGAAGTGCTGATGGGTGAAGGTGGCCTGACACCCCCCCCCAGCCCTAACCCTGCTCCATGTGCCCAGGTGGTTCTTCAAAAGCATCAGCCGCAAGGATGCGGAGCGGCAGCTCCTGGCGTCGGGCAACACGCACGGCTCCTTAAAAAAACCTCCAAAGGTACCGTCCCGTGGGTCCTGCCGGCATGTCTGCTGTGGGCACTGGGAAAGTGCTGGGGAGCACAGGAGGAGTGTTGGGGTCCCTCACCCACATGGTCCCACGTCTCCCAGGCTCCTACTCACTGTCAGTGAGGGACTTCGACCAGAACCAGGGCGAGATGGTGAAGCACTACAAGATCCGCAACATGGATAATGGCGGGTACTACATCTCCCCCCGCGTCACCTTCAGCAGCTTGCATGAGCTGGTGGAGTATTACACACGTACGTGTCGTCCAGGGGCTGGTCCTGCCTGCAGGCAGGGGACGGGATGGGGATGGGAATGGGAATGGGATGGGGATGGATGGGATCGAAATGGGGATGGGATGGGATGGGATGAGCAGGACACACTGCCCCAGTGTCATTAGCTTGTGCTGGGTGTCCTGTGCCCTCTGCCTGCATTTGATGCTGCCTCTGCCTGCCCCTGCGCCACAGGCAGCTCCGACGGGCTGTGCAC